TTCTCAACGAGTGAAGAGAGAGAGAGAGAAGCATTTACGAATGCGAAATAAATTGAAAAATGAAGAAAATGAAATTAAAGTGAAACCCTAACAAAAATTGCTGAGTATAACAAAACTAAGGACAACGATGATGCAAGATTCTATTGTACACACAGTCCTTACTTCAATCAAGGGAATATTGAAGCATCTAGCACTTCGACTAGTAGAAGCGGGAGAATTATGTTTATCTGGACAAGTTCTATAAAAAAAGTTTAAAATCAACCTGTGGATCAGCAGAATTCCAGTTCTCCTAGACCTCATTGTGTTTCATGCTGTTCTTGACAAGTCTGCTCGGATGGTAGATTTCAAACAACATCTGCCCAAGCAAATCAAGATCCCCACCAAAAAATTCTATTCTATAGCTTTTATGTCTCAGGTCTATTAGAAATTGTACAAGATTTCTGTTCCTACTTGAAAAATCCGAATTGAAGAAGCTAGGTGCGTAACCATGACTTTTCTGTGAATTGTGGTTTTCAGGTAATAGTCACTAATTCTAATCAGACTTTCGATGGAGTGAAAATGTTGACTGAAAAGTTTGGTGCACACATCTACTCAGATCGAAGATTTATTTCAATCTAAGAATTTGTCGGAAATTCAATGTGAGAAACATTATTGTGTCAGACAAACATTCATGGTGGATTGTCTAGTCACATACAGCGTTCTTACTCTCATAGAAAACGGTTGAAATATCTGGAATAATGATTCTTACATAAAAGATCACAAAGACATCATTCAGAGGATAACGTTCACTGATTTTCTTCACGGTCGCGATCAATAATGCTATCAGTATACCGAACGAACTACAAAATAGAACAGAAATAAATAAGGCATAGGCTGTAAATCACGGGTACAAAAATATGTAGATGACACTGTGTTGATTTATAAGCAAATTTATTTTCTCATGCATTCTAGTGAAGCGCATTGTCTTCATGTCAGTTTTATCAATCACGGGATTATTTCTGAAGTGGATCGGATTTCAATTTCCCTTATCGATGTAACATATGGTAGCCGGAAATGATGCTGCGTAAGTTAAGCCGTTAAGACTGTTCATTTTTATCATGCAAATCTCAACTGTTTTGTCTTAATATGAGTTGACTCTTGTGTAGTGTAGCTAATTCAAATGGAAACGTATTTCAGTTTAACTATGGATAGTGAAAAGCAGCACCATTGGAAATGACAATGAATATATAGGGACCGTTGACGTCAACAGTAAAATAATGAATATTTGTAAGTCATGTGAAATAGTTGTTTTTCCAAATATCAACGAATTGATTGACTATAATAAAAAATGAAATCTTCATTATAATTGTAAGTTATGACAATTTAAATTATTTTCATTCAATACTGATTGATGATTGAATTTTTATGTATGTAACTTTCATTTTCAGTTCACGTATTAGACAGATTAGAAGCAATGTGGAAAGAACATTGGAAGACTTACACAGATATACCAGTAACAATTTCTAGCGCAACGGAATTAACCTTCCCATGTTCAGCGTACTTCATACTGAAAGAATAATAGTATTATTCACAGGTCAACTTACATTATAGATGCGATGATTACAATGATAAAAGTGATGCCTATTTGTATTGTAGAAAGTATTAGGACCTATCATCATAAACAATCATTGTTCAAAATCCCAGCGTACCGTTTTTGTATAATCGGATACAATCCTCAGACGATCAGCTTTCGTCAATTTATTCACTTTACATTTTGAACTCTCCATCAATGGAATACTTGAAGCAGCATGAGACGTTGATGTCATGATTCGCCTACCAGAACCGTAGCATCACACATTTGTTTCAATGTTACAGTGAATACTCATAGTGCAAACATAAATTTTAATGTCAGGAAATGTGAACCGGTTTATTGTCCTGTCTCTGATTGATGAAAAGTTTATATCATAGAACACTAATGAGATGCTTTGAAACACACATGTCTAAATCTAACTGATTTGTTCAAAGGTAAACATAGTCGAAATGAAACAACGGCTGTCAGTATGTGGAATTAGTGTCTCTACCTATCACATACATTTTGAGTGTAATAGTGAGATAGAAAAAACTTCCGATCTACGTTATCTCTGAATTTGTGGTTAGCTGTTACTTTTCACATCCTAACTTTATTATCCGCCTATTACGATTTGTTTCTCGTATATGAGCTATAACTAGTACACGTATATCTCAATAAACTTACCTACCAATTCCAATTCAATCAGTGTTCATCATAATTTGCCTTCTCATAAAATCTCATTTATATTACAACAACGTATGCGCTTCAATGAGAGCAAAGTAAAATGACAGACGAGGCTTGATACACAATTGTGCAAAGATATGTTTATCTGAATCTAGACCAGGTAGAAATCATGTACTTCCTAATAAAATAAGCACTTACAACCTAGTGATAGCATCAGGATGTTTGAAACAGATTAAAGTACAGCAGTCAATAAAAGTTGAAGTAACTATTGTTATTAAACTTTGTATTTCGAAAATGTCAATAAATATTTTATGATTGGATACAGATGCAATGTCTTTAGATTAGATCACAACATAGTGTACTTCACTTTGGACCAACTGAATTTCAACTATTTCGTCTGAAAGTGGAGATAACTGAAGTAAGTAAGGAGCGAAGTGATAAAAATACTGTTCAATCAAACACTGTGAGGAGGGACGTGCCCAGATAATAATTCCTGTTAGGCCGGTGATATGTTGTCCTTTCTCTCCTACCTAACTAGTATATGTCAGGACTTTACATTTTCTAGTTATCAAAAAGCCATACCAGCAAAAGGCCACAATTATTATGGTCGTTGACCAATAGCAATCAATTCCTTTCCTGTACGCTTTTAAATTTACGGAACCGTTTCAGTCGTACTCTAAGTAACGGAAGGTTACAGTTTATTTATCATGCAGCAGAGAAAACTCGTCTAGCATCGACAGTTGTGGCTCAGAGATGGAATGCAGATTCGAGTGTCCATGGTTTTACCAGTGAAAGTAATTCAAACCATTTTAACTCTGCTCTAGCAGTTAGGTTTGCATCCAGAATAATTATGACATCTCATGATGGATGCCGAGTTTTTTCGGAAGCCACTAGGCCGATCCTTCTTCTAATGAGCAGAGCAACCATTCGTTTACGTACATGGAACGTTCCAACATTGTGGAAGACTGAAAGACCATTTCAAGTTGCTGCAGAAATGAACAGATACAGTCTTGGAATCAGTGAAACTCATTGGGAGCAAGTTGAACAACTGAGACAAGCTTCAAAAGTGCTTCTGTTGTACTCCGGCCATGACAAAGAAAATGCCAAATACATGCAACTTGTCACACTAATTCTGTCCAAACAAGCACAAAAGGCACTTACCGGATGTGAATCTCATGCAATTAAGATCAATAAAGCATCCTTCACATCAAAGAAAGAGTAAATTACAGTGGATGTCATGTGATGCTATTCACCTATCAGTGACTACACTGACGACGTTCAAGATCGATTCTACTAAAGGCTGTAGTCAATCGTCCACAGAAGCTCACCAATGCATCTGACCATTCTATTAGGAGACCTAAATGCCAAGGTTGACATGGACAACACTAGAATGAAGACATCATGGGACGACATGGATTGCGAGAAAGGAACGAAAATGGTGAGAGATTTGCAAACCTGTGTGCCTTCAACAAACTGATCGTTCGCGGCATAATATTCACTGGATCACATTACTCAGAACAATATCGATAAGTTCAGAAGGACCATGGAGGACGTGAAAGCCATGTGACGAGCTGCTATAGCCTCAGATCGCCATTTTATGGTAGCTAAAATGAAACTGAAACTAAAGAAGCGCGGGGCATCGTTGCCGACATTATCACTGAATTTCAATACGGCCTTTCTTCGGGATACTAAAAAGCTCAAAGAATTTTGGGTGGCACTCAGCAATAGATTCAGGGCCATGCACGGTATACTCAATGGAGAGGAAACAACCATGGAGAACAATTGGAAAGGGATCAAGGAGGCAATCATTTCAACATGTCAGGTGGTTCTGTGCTACAGGAAGTAGCATCATAAGGAATGGATCTGTGTTGGAACACTTGATAAAATTCAGGAAAGGAGGTAAAGAACGCTGCAATGAACATGAACAGAACATAAGCATAGAGAGTGTCACGGTATAAGCCTAATGCGCAGAAGCAAACTAGCAACTGAGGAGGAGCATCAAAGTCGACAGACGTAAATTTGTGGAAGACACAGCAAGGACGGCAAAAAGGCTGCATGAGAAATAAACTTAGCACTGTTCTACGATAAAACAAAGAAGCTGGCTGAAAATTTTTGTGAGTCTGAACGGTCGGTAATAAGCAAATAAGGCAAAGTAATCAACATCACTGAAGAATGACAAAATAGGTGGGTTGAGCATTTAAAGTATCTCCGGAATCGACCAGCTTCACTGAACCCACTCAACTTCTAAGCAGCATCTAAGGACCGTCCAATCGATGTTCGCCCACAACCAATTGAAGAGATCATCATGACCACCGGAAACGTTAAGCGCAGCAGTGCAGCGGGACCAGAAAACATTCCAGCAGAGGCAATGAATGCAGACGTGGCAGCAACTGCAAAAATATTACATTTTATCTTCAACAAGATTTGGAATGAAGAACAAATACCAACAGAGTGGAAAAAAGGATACTTCGTCAAAATATCAAATAAAGGCGATCTCCTAATACCAGACGAATTCTTCCACAGGTAATTGCTAAACAGAATGAAGGACTTCTTAGACGCTTAGCTTCGAGATCAGCAGGTTGGATCTCGTAACGATCAGTTACGTTCTGACCAAACTGCGACATCACGGATCATTATAGAACAATCACTTGAGTGGAACTAAGCACGTTACATTAACTTCCCTGACTAACAGAAGGCATTTGATAGTGTGGACAGGACAACACTGTGTAGGTTTCTTCGAAACTGCGGCTTGCCTGAGAAGATAGGTAACATGATACGCAGTTATTATGATGGAATAAACTGCAAAATCATGGATGGAGGCCAGCGGACAGAATTGTTCGAGGTGAAGTCCATTGCCCTATCTCACATTGCATCTTCTTCCTGGTGACTGACCAGATTTTGAAGACGTCTATATCTTCTGGTAAGCACGAGATACAGTAGGTATCCAAGATGCAGCTATAAGATCTGGCTCTTCCATCACAAATAAATAAACAAAAGCAAGAGAAGACGATCTGTGTAGTATCGGCCTCAACATTTGCAGGTCTCAACATTCATGAAGATGTAAGCGAGATTCTTCGCTACGGCAATCAAATCACTCTTGATAGAGATGACTTGGAGGACGTTAAAACCTTTACATATCTGAGCAGCATCGCCGACATAGAAGGTGTATCCGATGCAGGTATTAAGACACGGATTGGCAAAGCAAGGACTGCAACTCTACGATAGAACAACATCTAGAACTCAAAACAACTGTCAACAAACACCAAAATCAGAACTTTCAATACAAATGTCAAGACAATTCTAGCATATGAAGCGAAAACTTGAAGAACAACTAGGCTATCATCCAGAAGATTCAAGTACTCAGTTAAAGTTTTCTACTCAAAAAACTACGTACCTGTTGGCCAGACAGTATCAACAACAGCCTACTGTGGTAGAGAACAAACCAGATTGCAGCAGATTTATTAATCAGGAAGAAGCGGTGGATGTGGATAGGACACATATTTAGGAAAGCACTGAACTTCGTCTCGAGACGACCTATCAGTCGGATCCCTCAAGGTGAAAGGAAAATGGGAAAGCCAAGAAATACAGTACCCCGAGAAATAAAGT